GAGGCTGCTGAATGACCCACTAAGAACACAGGGGCCAAACCCAAACAACACAGGCAATGACAGCAAAATTCAAAAAGTGGATTAGCCTCCACAACAGACATGTAACACTCATAGGAGATAACCCTAAAGTGTCAGGCTCTGGTGAACAGGGGACACCACACTGAAGAACATTACAGAACTTTTTCATAAGGACGTGACTTTCAAGAGCAGAAGATGTTGCTAACTTTCCGAACATACAAAAAAAGACCAGAGATTTAAACAAAATGGAGACATGGAAGATTATGTCCCTAAAGAAAGAACAGGACTAAATCACAGCCTAAGAGCTAGGTGAAAAGGAGATAAATAACATGCCTGATAGAGAATTTAAAGTAATGGTCATGAAGTTACTCTCTAGACTTGAGAAAAGAGTAAAGGACCTTAGTCCTTTACAGAAAACATAAAAAAGAACAAATCAGTGTTGAAGAACTTAATACCAGAAATTAAAAATACACTAGATGGAATGAGTAGGAGACTAGAAGAAGCAGAAGAACAGATCAGTGATCTAGAAGAGAGAGTATGGAAAGCAATCAATTTGAACAGGAGAGAGGGGAAAAATACAGAAGAAAATAGACTTAAAGAGCTCAGCAACCCATCTAACATAAAAATATTTGCAGTATAAATGATAGAAGGGGGGGCAAAAAATTATTTAAAGAAATAATAGGTGAAAATATGCAAAACTGGTGAGGAAAACAGAAATCTAGATTTGGGAGACACAGTGAGCCCCCAACAAAATCAAGAAGGTTTATACCATCATACATATTAGTTAAAATAACAAAAAATAGCAATGAAGGAGAATTTAAAACCAGCAAGAGAAAAGAAAATTACATGCAAAGGAAATCTATAGAGGCATCAGCTGATTTTTTAGCAGAAATTATAGATCAGAAGGATTACAGCATGATATATCATGATATATCCAAAGTACCGAAAGGAAAAATATCCACAGCAAAGAATACTCAATCCACCAAGACTGTCATTCAGAATAGAAGGAAAGATAAAGAGTTTCCCAGACAAACTAATGTGAAAGGAATTCCTGAACACTAACTCAGCACAAGATATGTTAAAGGGGACCCTGAGTGGAAAAGAAAAGAAAGATGAAAGGAAAAGCAAGCAGAAAAGCAGTAAAATAATATATGAATAATATTTGAATACATAAAAATCAGTCAAGGGACCCACAAAATAAAAGGTTGCAAAGTATGGCACCATGTTTCAAAAAATTGGGGGGGTGGGGATGAGTAAGAATGATTCAGACTTAGTGACCTTAACTTAATAATGACTGCTATAGACAGAAGCTCTTATATTCAAAGTGAATGGTAACAACAAATTAAAAATTAGCAATACATATGCAAAAAATCAAGAGAGAAGAATCCATGTATGTCACTAAAGAAAGCCAATTCACCGTGGGAGAATAGAGAACTACAAAAACAAACAAAACAAGTAATAAAATGTCAATAAGTATATACTGATCAATAATTATATTGAATGCAATGGACTAAATGCTTCAATCAAAAGACTTAGGATGAAGAAATGGATATAACATTTAAATGCTGCCTATAAGAGACTCATTTCAGATGTAAAGACACATGGAGATTCAAAGTGAAGGGTTGGAAAAGCATATATTAAGCAAATGGTAATAATACTTGTCTCAGACAAAATAAACTTTAGAAGATAGACTTAATAAGAGACAAAGAAGGACAGTACATAACAATAAAAGGAAAGATCCATAAAAAGATACAACAATGATAAATATTTATGCAACCAACATGGGAGAACCCAAATACATAAAGTAGCTAAAAACAAACATAAAGGACTAATCAATAGTAATATAATGATAGTAGGAGACTTTAACACCCCACTTACATGGATGGATCCAAGCAGAAAATCAGTAAGGAAACAGTGGTTTTGAATGACATATTGGACTAGGTTAGATCTAAATGATATATTCAAAACATTCCATCCCCAAACCCTGAATACATGTGCTTTTTTTCTAACTTAATTTTTCAGTATTCCAAGATTCATTGTTTATGTACCACACCCAGCGCTCCATGCAATACGTGCCCTCCTTAATACCCACCAACAGGCTCACCCATCCCCCACCGCACTCCCCTCCAAAACCCTCAGTTTGTTTCTCAGAGTCCACAGTCTCTCATGTTTTGTCACCCCCCTTCCATTTCCCCCAACTCTCTTCTCTCCTTCTCTCAATGTCCTCCGATTTCAAGTTATACTAAAGCTGTAGTAACCAAAACAGTATGGTGCTGACACAAAAGACATATACATCAATGAAACAGAGTAGAGAACCTAGAAATAAACACACAATTTTATGGTTAATTGAAAGCTGACAAAGGAGGCAAGAAAATGCAATGGGAAATGGAATGTCTCTTCAACACATGATGTTGGGAAAATTAGAGACGTGCAAAGGAAAGAAACTGGACCATTTCTTACATCATAGAAAAAAATTAACTCAAAGTGGATTAAGGACCTAAGTGTGAGTCCTAAAATCATAAAAATCCTATAAGAGAGCAGAGGTATTAAGTTCTTTGACATCAGCCATAGCAGCATTTTTCCAGATTTGTCTCCTCAGCAAGAAAACAAAAGCAAAAAACAAACAAACAAAAAAAACCAAAAAAACCCAACCCAAAACCAACAAAACAAAACAAAGAAACTGTTGAACTGCATCAACATAAAAAGCTTCTGCAAAACAAGGGAAACAAGCAACAAAACTAAAAGACAATCTATTGAATGTGAGTAGGTATTTGTTAATAGCATATTAAATGGTTAAATGGTTAGTATGCAAAGTATATAAGGAACTTGTGCAACTCAACACCCAAGAAAGGAAATAATCTGATTACAAATGGACAGGTCTTCTGAATGAAGAATAGACATTTCTCCAAAGATGACATCCAGATGTCCAGCACACAGATGGGAAGAGGCTCAGCATCACTCACCATCAGGGAGGTGCAAATCAAGATCACAATGAGACATCACCTCGTGCCTGTCATGTTGGTCAATTTAACACACACACACACACACACACACACAAGAATCAAGTCTTGGGGAGGATGTTGAGAATAAAGAACTTTGTACCCTGTTGGTAGGAATGTAAACTGGTGCAGCGACTGTGGAAAACATTGTGGAAGTTCCTCAAGAAACTAAAAACAGAATTATTATATGATCCAGCAATCTCACTACTGGATTTTTTTTTTGCATTATTGGATATTTGTCCCAAAATGTGAAAACACTAATATGAAAAGAAACTGCAGCATTATTTACCAAGTAGCAACGTATGAAAACAACACAAGCATCCATAGATAGATGAATAAAGAGAAGAGATGTGGTATGTATACACAATGGAATATTATTCAGACATAAAAATAACTGATCTCTCCATTTGCAATAACATGAATGGAGCTAGAGAACATGATAGTAAGTCATATAAATCAGTTGAACAAAGACAAACACTATATGGTCTCATTCATAGGTGGGATCAAGAAACAAAACAAAAGAACTAAGTGGAAAAGAAAAAAACAAACAAACAGAGAAGCAGACTCTTATCTATAGAGAACACACTGCTGGTTCCCAGAGGGGAGGTTGGTAGGCAGATGGGGGAAACAGGTGAAGAGGATTAAAATTACACTTATGTTCATGAATACTAAGTAATGTATAGAATTGTTAAATCACTATATTGTACACCAGAAACTAATTAACATGGTATGTTAACTACAGTGGAATTAAAAAAAAATAACCAAAGAAAAACTAACTCAGTGCACCAAAATGTATAGTTCTTGGTATACGTGTTTTACTTCCCAAGTAGACTAAAACTCCTTGCATAAGGTGACTGCACTGTGAACACTGTATTTTCATGAGTGCAGCACCATGCTTGGATCCAGGCAGGTGATAAGTGACTGTTTGGTGAGTCAATATATATTAATGTAAATTAGAGGGGATATTTTTCAGATGTTTCAATGTCCTGTGGTCTCTGTGATGATAGTGGCTCTTCCCTAAGAATTACCGCAGATTGGTGGTTGCTGAGACTGTTAGACTAGCAATCATGGGGGAATCTGGACAAACAACTAGAGCAACTGTTAAAAAGAAATCCATTTGCCTAAAAGGCACCTGGGGCAAGGCCAAGTCCTCCAAAGTTGCTGAATCCCTAACCTAACTACAGTTCCCACCTCTCTCAGAAATGTTCACCTGTCAATGAATTCTCTGGTCAGCATCAGTGAGGTACTCTGTCACATGTGTCCTCTCCATCCCCAAGGAGAGGAAGTCATCTACACGGTAAGCCCCTTCCCTGCTCTCCCAAATAAGGGAAGGTGACCTTCCCTGAAGCACTTCTGTCTCTTTTGCCAACTTCCCTCTTACAAAAACCTGCCATTTACAACACTCCTCAAACCTCCCCTCTATCTGCCAGACAGGATGCTGCCTGACTCTTGAATCACTAAATAAAACCAAACAGATCTTTACATTTACTTGGTTGATTTAGTTTCTTAACACAAGCAGTGAGAAATCAAAGATATGAATGAGCTGTGTTGAGGGTGAGACTCAGGGTGGTGTCACAAGGGCAGGAGGGAAAGAATGATAGGACCCAGGGTGGGATTCTGGGAGCCATGTGTTTTCATCGATTACTGTCTGGATGAGAAAGAAAAGCGCAAGATGTAGGGTCATTTTCAAGCCACACAGGACTCATTCTGTAGCAACTGAACTAGGGGACAGGGAGCAGGATGGAAGCTGGTGACAGGGAGAAGCTAGAAGCCAGACAGGAGAGTCAGACCAAGAGAGGAACTGAGAGTCTGAGTAGGTGTACAGGCTTGAGGGAGGAGCACATTTGCCTTGTCGCAGAGACTCAGGGAAGGCTTGTGTGTGGAGAAGGAAGTCAGAAGAGAATGACTGTGTGTGGGGTAGGTTTGTTAGAACAAACGCAAAGACCGACTTTGTAAGAGAAAGAAAGAACATCTGCAAGTACAATGCTGCTCCTGCAACTTGTGTTGTTAGCGGTTCTCCTCCCAGATGGTGACAGTGAAGATGGTGAGAACTCTGACCCTGCTCAATGGGTGCAATTTTGTACATGTGAGTGAGTGTGAGTGTGTGTGTGTGTGTCCATGTGTTTGTGTACATTTGATTATGTGTGTGGGTGTTTAGGTGCCTAAGTGCATCTATGTGTGTGTTTGTGGGTGTACATGTGGAGGTGTGTATCTGTATATCCGTTCTCATATATGTGCATATGTATAATCTTAGTGTGTGGGTGTGTGTACATATGTGCATTTGTGTCATTCTCTGTGTGCAGTCATACTTGGGGTCAAGAATATTAGCCTGGTTCATCTGAGCATCCCTGACCTCAGGGACCCATACTCTTCTGAAGGATAAGTATGAAGCTCGGTGCTCTGGGGCAGCACCTGTTTCCTGAGACAATTATAGTTTCCCAGTCCTCAGACTTTGGTTCCCCTCCCTGGCACCTTCTTCTCCATTCTTTCTCTTTCCCAATGCCCTCCTACTCCACCCTATTCTGTTCTTTTGCTACAGCCTTCCAGGAGCTGATCTCTTTCCGAATTATCCTGACCACATCCTTTTACAACCATTCCTGGACACAAAATCAGGGCTCAGCATGGCTGGATGAGCTGCAGACTCATGCCTGGGACAACAAGACCGGCAATTTCATCTACCTGCAGCCATGGTCCCAGGGCAAGTTCAGCAATCAGGAACTGAAAGAAATGGAAAAAATATTCTACAGATACTCCATTATAACTATTTCAACATGTCGTAACCATGTCAGAGATTGGTGGCTTGAATGTGAGTTCAGATCCCTCTGGGCGGGATGGAGGTGACAGGCACTTGTATCTCCTTGAGTTCCTTTTTCCTGTGGGAAATGAACTCCACTCGCTTCTGAACCTTACCTCTCTCTGCCATGAAATGGAATCACATCCATCTGGGGGTAGAATCCAGATCCTGATCTTTGAAAAGCTTCATGTCTTCTGCTACTTTCCACTCCTCTCATTGACTGTTTGGCTGTGCTCTCCTGTCTCCCACGTGTGTCTCCCATGACCACCCCTTTCCCTGGCATCCAACAAAGCATACTAGCTCCCTCACTCTGTGACTGACTCCTTGAACCGTGCTTTTCTCTCCATTCAATCACATCAGCAATGCCTTTCTATGTGTTTCTTGTACCCACTACACTCCCTTCATCCTAGGGTGTTTTTTACCCTAGCTCTCCCGCTGAAGCCTTCCCTATTCTATACCCATCTCATTTATGTCTCTCCTCCAATGTTTGTTCCTTCCTCAAACATTCACCTCTTTCTCCACCTCCAGCAATCACCATTTCTCCATTGTCTGAGCCACTCCTCAAACAAATCTTTCTCTATAATCCCTTGAATTCCTATAATCTCCTAAATTTCTCCATCTGCTTCTTCCCTCCATGAATTCCACTCATCTCATTTCCTGTCTTTTACTGTCCCTGCCTTGTAACTCACAGTCTCTCTTCCCCAGATCCCTTTCAGGTTCAGACAGTAATAAGCTGTGATTCTCACTTTGGAGAAGCATCAGTATGCCTCCTGCAGATTGCTTATCAAGGAACAGACCACTTGAGTTTCCAGAACACCTCATGGTGGCCATCTCCAAAAGGAGGAAGAAGGGCTCAACAGATATGTAGACTATTCAATCAGAACCATGTTAACAAGGAAATAGAACAGAAGCTTCTCAGTGACACCTGCCCCCGGCTCCTGTTGGGTCTCCTTAAGGCAGGGAAGACATATCTCCAGCGACAAGGTCAGTCTTGCTCCCTCTCTCTATGAATTCTCTACTCTGCACTCATACATTTGCACCATTCCCTCAAATTCAGGGTGAGAAGTCAAGAGGGAGAAGGGAGAGTCGTGAAAGGTTTCTAGAGGTAGAATGATGTGTCTATCTGAAATGATGTGAAGCTTTACACTCTCAATCTATAAATACCTGTCCTCTCTCTGCAGTGAAGCCAGAAGCTTGGCTGTCCACTGGCCCCAGTCCCGGTCCTGGCCATCTCCTGCTAGTGTGCCACGTTTCCGGGTTCTACCCAAAGCCTGTGTGGGTGATGTGGATGCGGGACAAGCAGGAACAACAGGGCACCCAGCGAAGCGACATCCTGCCCCATGCTGATGGGACATGGTATCTTCAGGTGTCCTTGGATGTGAAACTCAGGGAGGCTGCTGGCCTGTCATGTAGAGTGAAACACAGCAGTCTAGGAGGCCAGGACATGGTCCTTTACTGGGGTGAGAAAGAGCTGGGGCCCAGATGGGACAAGGGCAGGTAGGGCTAAAGCAGAGCAGAGGAGCCTGATGAAAAATTTGGGAATCTAAGAACACCAGACCAAAAATGACAAAAAAATCATTAACCCAAGAAATGGAAGAGCTGAGGGTCAAGGTCCTGCAGATGTGGGTCATGTGGAGGGTTTGGTGAAGGGTCCATCTCTGAGGAGGGATGGGAGAAGAGAGAGGAAGGGTGCCTGGTGAGGTAGAAGATGAAAAGAGCAAAGAGGATGAAGGAGGTACACTTCAATCTGGTTTAATGGAAATGATACTTTATCTTCACCATATCCACAGAGCATCCCCACTCCACGGGCTTGATCTTCCTGGCAGTGATAGTGCCCCTGGTGCTTCTGGCAGGTCTGGTGTTGTGGCTCTGGAAATGCTGGTAAATCTCTGGAGCCACTTTCTTGCTCTTTCCCATGTGTCTCCCCAACTTTAGTCCATTTTTACCCCTCCTGGTCCCAGTGCCCTTCCCCCCAGCAGTCCTCACCTCTAGGTGCAGAATGATTCCTCTTCTGTTCCTTGCAGGAAAACACACTGAAGACCGCAGTGCATTGGCCTCCCTTTGGACTGACCTCCCAGCAGCCCAGGGATCAGAACCTTCCTAAACCCAGCATAGCGGTGATGTCCTTGCAACTGTCCATGTGCAACTTTAGCCTTTCATTTTTTTTGTAATGATCAGTTGTCAGTATAACCTAAATATAGTTTAGTGACGTTCGTTGTTGGGGTCTGATTCTGGAACTTTAAAATTCAAAATTTAACTCTGGATAGAATGAAGTCCAAGAAACTCCATGGGGCATCAGGCATTAAATGTCAGTTCCTCCAGAACTCTCCCTGATTTACAACTGGAAGAAGTCCCTGCTAAATGAGAATTCTCACAACCTATTCCTATTCCTGAACCTTAGCCCTTTTTGTTCCTACTTGGGTCCCTTTTGCCCTTCTAATGGTTAGGTCTTTTGAGAGCAAAGTCCATGTCATTCATATATATATATATATATTTTTTTTTTTCTCTCTTTGGTAAGCTGTCTCACTTGCATGGGATATGTGCTCAATAAAAACTGTGTTGAATTTTTGTCAAATTTATAAGCTCTCTTCTTCTTTTCCTTCTTGATATGTTTGTTGTGGTTGAGATGTTTGGTGCTCTCCTTGTTAAAAGTCCTCTCATTTGGCTGAGAGACTTCACACCCTCATGCCTCTTGTTCCATCTCTGACATCGTGAGGAGAAACAGTTTTACCTGTGACCATCCAGTTGTTTACTATAGACACCTATTGGAGTGGACCTGTTGCTCCAAGTATTCTGAATAAAAAGTGGAAGGCAGGGTTCAGGGCCTTAATGTTTCTGGTGCTCAGGGACAACAGCAGAGTTGTCACTTTAGGGCTTCTTAGAAGTATAGGGTCTTGGTCTTAGCTGAGACCCAGTGAATCACTTTGCATTTTAGCAAAATCAGCAAGGCATTGTCAGGTAAATAAAATATGAGAGCCACTGATACAGGTGAGGCCTGAGAGGTAGCAGTGCAAGTGTGTCCCTGAATGAAAAACAGATGCTCTGGGAAAGAGAGTAAGAGAATTGTGCTCAGGCTACTAGGTGTGTACCCTAAAGATACAAATGTAGTGATCCGAAAGGGCATGTGCACCCCAATGTTTATAGCAGCAATGTCCACAATAGCCAAACTATGGAAAGAGCCTAGATGTCCATCACCACATGAATGGATAAAGAAGATGTGGTGTGTATATATACAATGGAATATGATTCAGACATCCAAAAAAAAATCTTGTCATTTTCAACGATGTGAATGGAACTAGAGGATGTTATGCTAAGCAAAATAAGTTAATCAGACAAAGACATTATCTTATGATCTCACTGATATGAGGAATTTGAGAAACAAGACAGAGGATCATAGGAGAAGGGAGGGAAAAATGAAATAAGATGAAACCGGAGAGGGAGACTAACCATAAGAGACTCTTAATCTCAGGAAACAAACTGAGAGTTGCTGGAGGGGAGGGGTGGGGTGGCTGGGTTATGGACATTGGGGAGGGTATGTGCTATGGTGAGTGCTCTGAATTATGTAAGCCTGATGAATCACACACCTGTACCCTTGAAAGAAATTACACATTATATGTTAATTTAAAAGCATATTGTGTTCAGGAATGAATGGGGATCCAGCAAGGAGTGTGCATACAGTGCCTCCTGGAATTCATGGTTGCTCCGTTACAGTCACTGAGGGACAGACATTGAGCCATTGTTCCTGGGGGAACTATGAGGGTGGGAGCCTCTGCTCTTAGGAGCTTCTGCTCACAGCACTTGCCAAGTGAAGACTACACAGCCTGGTTTCATATGTGTTTCTGATTAAAGATAGTGTCTTGTGCCATATATCTCTATGGTGAAATATTAGCTCAAAAGTGTAACATTTCCCAGCTTGGGTACTATGATTGCCAAGGTCTTTGGCCTTCAGCCCCACAGCTGTGCTTCCCACAATGCTTTTAGAAGCAAACAAATAGGAAACAGTCTACATCTCATAAATCCACATATATACCTCTTTACCACCTTTTCCATGACGTCATCATAGTGTCCCAGATCTTATTTAGCACTCTCTGGAGTGGCTCCATGTAGATGCCATGAATGCCCTATTCCTTTTCCTGGATTTACTGCATCGATAATTCATTACCTTTGACCTCATGGTCCACAGCCTTGCATGAGGAGACTGATCAAGTCTTACCTACACAGATGTTTTGTCATGAGGCACATACAACCTTCTTTTTCTTAGGAACACCAGTCAGCCCCACAGTTCTGGAGTTCAGGGCTTTTTTAAACACTGAAATAACCAAGAAATGGCATATAATTCAGAAATTTTTTTTATATTTAATTTTATATTTTCAGTGTTCTTAGATTCATTGTTTATGCACTACACCCAGTGCTCCATGCAATATGTACCTTCCTTAATACCCACCAACAGGCTCAGTCATCCCCCCTACCCCGCTCCTTTCCAAAACCCTCAGTTTGTTTCTCAGAGTGCACAGTCTCTCATGGTTTTTCTCCCCCTCCAATTTCCCCCAATTCACTTTTCCTTTCCTCCCAACGTCCTTCATGTTATTTCTTATATTCCACAAGTAAGTGAAACCATATGATAATTGACTTTCTCTGCTTGACTTATTTCACTCAGCATAATCTCCTCCAGTCCCATCCATGTTCATGCAAAAGTTGGGTATTCATCCTTTCTGATGGCTGAGTAATATTCCATTGTATTTGTGGACCATGTCTTCTTTAACCATTCATCTTTGAAGGACATCTTGGCTCTTTCCGCAGTTTGGCAATTATGGACATTGCTGCTATGAACATTGGGGTATATATGGCCCTTCTTTTCACTGCATCTGTATTTTTGGGGTAAATACCCAGTAGTGCAATTGCAGGGTCATAAGGCAGCTCTGTTTATAAATTTTTGAGGAATCTCCACACAGTTTTTTCTTTTCTTTCTTTCTTCTTCTTCTTTTAAAAAAGATTTTATTTATTCATTTGACAGAGAGATCACAAGCAGGCAGAGAGGCAGGCAGAGAGAGAGGAGGAAGCAGGCTCCCTGTTGAACAGAGAGCCCAATGTGGGGCTCGATCCCAGGACACTGAGACCATGACCTGAGCCGAAGGCAGAGGCTTAACCCACTGAGCCACCCAGGTGCCCCTCCACACAGTTTTATCAAAGTGGCTATGCCAACTTACATTCCCAATAACAGTGTAAGAGGGTTCCCCTTTCTCCACATCCTCTCCAACATTTTTTGTTTCTTATCTTGTTAATCTTGGCCATTCTAACTGGTGTAAGGTGGTATCTCAATGTGTCTTTGATTTGAATCTCCCTGATGGCTAGTGATGATGAACATTTTTTCATGTGTCTGATAGCCATTTGTATGTCTTCTTTGGAGAAGTGTCTGTTCATGTGGTACCAAGTGAACCATGAACAAGATACAAGTTTACAGTGTGGGAATTAACAGAGGAAGGCAGAGGGGCACCTGGTCCAGCCTCACTAAGCAACATGTAAAGTGGGTGATGCATTTCAGGCCTCTCTCTCTGCCTCTGCAAATAGTGTCTGGGGTTATAAATCAATGTCAGCAGATAGGCCAATCAGCACAGACTCTATGTATAATAAAGATGGACCTTTGTGACTGATGACCCCCATGGCAGTGAGAGTGGAGACTTCCATGGCTAGACTTTAATTACTCTGTTTTATGAATTAACACAAAAACCATTCTCAAGCCCAGAAATGCAGCAGGGACATTTTGAGTGTGAGGTATTGGGGTGGAAAATGTCTTCAGTGTTTTGGGGGCTTGAAAGCTTTGCTTTCCTGAAGTGTTTACCCTTTTCACTGTGTTTCTATCTAGTTTCTTAGCTGGTACAGCCAATCTGGAAAACAATTTGGATGTTCCTCAAGAAGTTAAAAATAGAGCTACTCTATGACCTAGCAATTGCACTACTGAGTATTTGCCACAAAGATACAGATGTAGTAAAAAGAAGGGGCACCTGCACCCCAATGTTTATAGCAACAATGTTCACAACAGCCAAACTGTGGAAGGAACTTAGATATCCTGTGACAGATTAATGAATAAAGAAGATGTGGCTCATATATATAATAGAATATTATTCAGCATCAGAAAGGATAAATACCCACCATTTACATCAACATGGATGGAACCAGAGGGTATTATGCTAAGTGAAATAAATCAAACAGAGAAAGCAATTATTGTATGGTTTCACTGATACATGGAATATAAGAAATAACACAGAGGATCATAGGGGAAGGGATGGAAAAGTAAATGGGAAGAAATGAGAGAGGGAGACAAAGCATGAGAGACTTTTTATCCTGGGAAACAACCTGGCATTGTGGAATGGAGGGGGGTGGGGGGATGGGATAACTGGGTGATGGGCACTGAGGGGGACTCATGATGTGATGAACACTGGGTGTATATGCAACTGATGAGTCACTGAACACTACACCAAAACTAATCATGTATTACATGTTGGCTAATTGAATTTAAAAAAAAAAGTTTCTTTGTGTTGAACTAGGGGAAAGGAACTTAATTATATCTTTTTTAGGGGCTGAAAGAGGAACCCAGAGCAGAAGAACATTCATAGGAACCACAAGCAGTCTCTCAGTACTGTGTATGTGGATATTTCTGGAAAATAACATTGAAATGAGAAAGGTGGCAAAGGTGAAAATAGAGGAATGGGGAAAGCAAATCATGAGATGTCTGCAATCTTCCCATGTGGATCAGGCTGCTGGCTATTTCTCTCACTTCCAGACCACCTTGTCACCCTCACATGGCCTCCATGTGGATTTTGCTGGGTTGACTCTATCATCATGTGTAGTTCTGGGCTCTGATCAGCCTGAGGCCATCAGGAGAAGCATCCTTGACAATGAGACAGGCTGAAGGATAGATGGATAACCTGCTGTTCAGGCCAGGCATCAGACAGATGCCTCTCATCTTCACTGTGAGTGATGGTTCAGGGCCAGACAACTGCCCAAGGTGGCACAAGTTCCACAAAAACTGATTCTTCTGGTCAGTGGAGGTGCTCTCTCCTTCCTGGATGAGAAGGT